GATTGGCAGAAATATTTCACAGAGTTATAAAGGATCAGAGTGGCCTCTTATTCTGAGAATCTGAAATGACTAATACTATTAATAATTACAAATAAGTCATAAATAATTTGGGTTGTAAAACATTATAACAGGTCATAGAATTAGTAGGAAAAAACCTTTTTCAATTGTATGATTCAAACGTGAAACAATCTATGACTCTCCTAAAAATGGCTTGCTTAATACCAAAATGCCAAATGGTTGGCCAGGAGGATAAATTAATGACTAGTTCATTGACTTTGACAGAGGAATTATTCGAGAAGCATCTAATTGAAATTTCAGAACCATGCTGAACATGGGTAACATAAAGACTGGGCAGCAGCGGGCAATTTCACCGGCTAGGTGGGGCCGAGGTAGGCACAGGAGGGGAGGGCCGTGGGAAGGAACGTTCCTCTCTGTCTGCCCTCCCTCTCGGCCTGTTTACCACGGCGCTCCAGCCCCCTCTCTGCGCCTTTATTCAGTGTTTCTTCTACCTGTGCCTTCCTTCCTCCACCTCTGCTCGTAAACATCCTACTCCTCTTGTCAAGGCCTGGCTCAAATGTCACCCACTCAGGACAGCCTAATGCCCCGGAACCACCCCGCAGCTTCCTGAGCTGTGGTCTGCAGGTGTTTCCTTATGGGCGGAATAAATTTCAGGTCCCATTCTTACATGCTTGGCTGTTTTTCAAGCATGCAGAGATGCTATGGTGATGAATGCGGTGTTGCGACCCATGGGTTCATAAACTTTACTGATATGAATGAAGGCTGGGTTGGGAGCACTTGAACAGAGCGAGGACGCCTGCAAGGCTGGGGCTGGAGGGGCTGGGCTGGGAGCCCGACTCCGCCACACACTAGCTTTGGAATCCGGGCGAGTTACTGAATCTCTGCCTCCGTTCCCTTATCTGTAAAATGGAGATCATAACAGCAATCACTTCTTGCGATTATGGTGAGGAATAAATGAGTTTACTATATTCAAAGTGCTTAGAACTCTGGAAGTGGCACTCCAGAAGGACCCTAACTGTAGCTGTCACTGTACCTGCTGGCGTTGTCATTGCTTCCGACTCCCCAACACTAAAGCAGCAGTTTCATCATGAGGACCCCATGCTGTTTTTTGAGGTCGAAGTGGGATCCGCCTCCAGACTGGGACCCACTGTGCTCTTTGCTCCTGCCTCTCTTAGGACGTTTGTCATGTTTTCCCTTCTGTCTCAGCATCTGTGACACGCCTCATATCCTTCTACTTGTAAAATCATGTCGTCTTCTTTGAATCCTCCCAGCCCTTGTACTCAGCAGAAGCAGAATAAATGCTCATGGAATGGATAAACAATTGTGGAGCAGAGCTAGAGCTCAGGCACTTTACTTCAAAGAGTAATATGGAAGGAATGGAGAGATCACCATTTAATACTCCCCACGTATTTTCGAAATCCGGAGCCTTTTATCAACACAGCTTGAAGTACACTTTTTGGTTTTAAAGGTGGAGAGCCAGAGGCCTGGGTAAAATGTGCTCCTGATGTTTCATTTTAAAACAACTTGATCATTACTTCCTTTCAAGGCTTCTTTTGGAAAACAAATAATAATAATAGTGAAGGGTGCAATCTTTTTCCATCCTATATGGATATACCGGAGCCACAGAGATTTAGGGAAGAGAGAACAGTTTAATTCAGGCCATGAGAATGGTCGTGGTTAGGCCTGGCTCAGCCCCAGATAACAGAAATCTTGGCACAGGAGTTGGGCGTTGGCAGTTTTAAGTGTTTCTATAGTCAACTCTAGATCAGTCGTGCTAACGGAGGAATAGGATAGGATTGTAGCAAACATAAAACACTCTGAAGTTAGTTTATATCTGGCTTTGGAAAGCATCGTGTACACAGACGCACCACCCTTGCTGTAGCTTTGCCTCCTCTCAGCAGGACCTGTTCTAGGAGCCCTGAAGCAAGCTGGGCTGGAGTATGAATTCTCTGGATTGCAGAGGATAATGCACCAAGCAGACAATCCCCTCTCAGACACTAGCCTCATGAGTGCAGAACTCCTTGGTCCCTACAAGAGCTCCACTGTCGTGCTTGGGAAGGAAGCACTTGGTAAATATTTTTTAATGATCAAATGAGTGAGTGTGTGAGCAAGTGAGTGAATAATCTGAGCATTTAAGAGGACTGTTGATAAACAATCACAGATGAGCCTGCCTGCTTTTCCTCTGAGTGACGTTAGGTGTGGTGTGTTTGTTGAGTTGTGGGGGCCCCAGACAGAATTGAGAACCATAGAATATTATCCTATTGGATTCCTGAGAGCCGTCTAAGGCCTGTTGTCTGGGAACAGACGAACTGCTTTTTCTGTCCAGGGTCAGATAGTACGTATTTGTGACTTTGCAGTCTATAAGGTCTCGGTTCCAACTACTCAGTTCTGCTGCTGTAGCACAAAAGTAGCCATAGGCGATACATAAACGAATGAGCATGCCTGTGTTGTAATAAAATGTTACATATGAAAACAGGTGGTGGGCCAGGTTTGGCCCAAGGGCTGCAGTTTGCCAATCCCACTCTTGTGGACCCCCTGATTTTGGAGAAAACTGAGGCAATTGGAAGTCGAGTAACCTCCCCAAGTACACATAAGTGGCTAATGTTGGAGTTGGGGCTAGAAATCCAGATTTAGTGACTCTAAGCCAAAATGTTAGGCTTTCCTATCAAAGGAAAATCCATTTATCCATTGATTCAAGCATTCACTGACAGTCTGTATGTGTCAGGCACGGTACTAGGCCCGGGGTATTACTAGAGTAAACCAGGGCAACGTGGCTTTGCTGTTTGAGAGCTTACAGCAGAGAGCAGGTGAGGCAGAAGCCATTAGAATTCAGCGTAAGAAGTGCTACAACGGGACGAGGGGGATGAGGGCAGTATCGGAATACAGAGGCACCACCACAGGGCAAGAGGCAAAGTTTCCTCTGCCTTGTGTCCGAGAAGCTTCCACGAGAAGGTCCAGGCCCCTAAAAGGACTGGCGTGCTCCCATCACGACTGTGATCACCTCCTCCCAATTTCCTCAGTTTAATTCTCCCCTGAAACCATGTATTCCCGCCATGCGGTGGACCCCGAAGTGCACAGCTGATTCGATTAGTGGGAGCATGGATTATCTCTACTGACCTCTGATCTTTCCAGTTAAGAAGTTCTTTGAGTTCACGATCTGATCCATGTCTGACCGGATCGTCCCCTCCAGGCCCTTTGTCAGAGTCCTGCATTCCTCCTTCAAAGCACTTAATCCTTCCGAAACTTGTTGCTGAACCAGGTTGTAGGCCTCCTCGAGGAGCTGCAGCAGAGAACAGCAACACATAAATCGGGGCTCTGTCAAACACAAGCGGTGGCGGAGTCGAGCAGAGGGAGGGGCCCTCATCACAGGCTGTCATAACATAAACAAAACTGCACACGCGCCCTAATTTTTCTTTCAAAGTTGGAGTCTGTTTGAATTAGTCATCATGGAAGTGAGACCGAGCAGGCCCGAGGTAGGTATTCCTCCACCCAGGGAAGGAATCATTAAAAACAACAAATGCCCTGAAAGAAAAGGGAAGGGGACGTTCATTTCGAGTAGCCCGGTTGCAGCGCGCAATGGTCACTTACACAGAGCCAGGTCCGCTTTCTGTCGTTCTTCTTCCCCTTCATTTTCGGCAGCAGGTCTGTCTGGAGCGTTGGCAGGAGCTCCTCCATCACCAGGTTGCTCAGCACCTGCAGCGCGGAAGAGAGCCCCAGAGTCGGTGGATGGTGACACATAGATCCGAACATCAGGCCCACTCAAGATGTCCCCGTCCTGGGCTCAATGAACTCTGCAGGTTAATCCTTTAACCCGGTTCTGAGGCCACAGAAATCCCAACTAAGACAAATGTTAGAGGGTAGACATCCTTAAACACCCACGAGGAACAGTAATATCTGTGGACATCCTCCCCTTGCTGTTTTCCCAATGTAAACAACAAATTTCTGAAATTTAACCTCCTCCTGTTCCAACTAGAAGAACCTGGTGTATTTAGGGTAACGGGAAATTTCAGTAGCAAAACTGTGAGTGGAGTGTCAGGCTTGGTTTGGGGGCCTCGAATCCTAGTCTGTATCCTCTGGGACTATCATCCTCCTCAAGTCCCCTGATGATCTAAGAGTCTTCATGCTCTTTGTCCCTACTGTCCCCTGAGCCCCCTTCCATCCTCTTTAATGTTTGGAAAAAGAAGGGGGGAGCAGTGTGGAAGGAGGGGTGAGGACCACCCCACACTGGCCCGGACAGAAAGCGGAAGGTGCTACAGACACCTAGTGAAGTGGGTGCATTTTTGCTAACTCTGCACTTCTGGTGACCGTACAGTTTGAAATACTATTTTTAATTGAATTTTATAAAAATGCAGAATTTTGTTCTATAATTGTTTAAAGCTGTGTTGGTAGCACACAGAACATTTCATTGCTGTTTTTTGAGGAAGGGGCATATGTCAGTAACAGAATGTGTCTGAAGCTGAACTGATGGGGGGGGAACCCCTTTCCCTTCTAGTTTTGAGAAACGTCCTCTTGGTTCCCAGGAGGAAGGATTCCCTGACGTTGACATACACAGCCGCCTGGGCACAAATGCCTTGCGGTGTGGAAAAACTGAGATTTGTTTTTATGTCCTCGTCTCCCTTTCCTCCTTCAGCATAAACTTAATTCCTTTAAACTAGGACACCTGTTAGGACCTGACCCCCCAACACTGGCGAGCAGTAGGACAAGCAGTCTGGACTTTCCAGTCATGCCACAAAGATGGCAGCCCTCAGAAGAGCAGCAGTCCTTGTTTCAGGTTGTGGGTCTGCAGATTGATAATTCTGCCATTTTCATTTCGTCTCCTGAAAGAGTCAGCTCAGGAAAAGCTGTCCAACAACGTGCTACGTGTGAAACGTCAGCCCTCATTGTAATCAAGAGGGGAATCAAATGAAGACGTCACTGGGTTTTCTGTGGCTTTCCGACTTGGGCAGTCCATTGACGAAGGGAGTTGGAAAGTTTGTTGCATACTATTGACAACTGTCTGTCCATGTCCTGCCTAAAATACCATGACTGTTTATACAAAGCATCTTTCATAAAGCTAAATACAGTTTGAAAGAAGAAAAAGAAAAAGAAGGGAGTAACAAATATTTGGAACTACTGGACATGTGTGAGCTGAGCAGAATATGGGGGGTGTCTGAAATTTTCAGGGGCTTTTTAAAAATTTGTTCCCAAATCTCTCCCCAAATTTTGCTTAGATCAATTAAAATGTTTCTCATGGATCTGAGCAGCATTCTATACATCCACTTGTTCCAATGCTCGTGTGGCACTGGCCCTTCCTTCTGTACCCCTGGCCCTGAACTGCAAAAGCTTTGCTGTTCACGTTCACTTCAAAAGACCGTGAGTCTTTTGGGTCCCACAGCTCAGCCTTCAATAGTAGGTTCAGACTGGGATTTACAAAAGGGCAAGCGTAGTTTTAGGAATGGAAGCAGGCAGAAAAGTCGAGAATCGCTCAAGACATCTGTTTGATGAGTTCGAAATAATATTTGTTCAAAATAATTGACCTCCTCCTTCTCACGTCTCATAAAAATTCAAATTACGCTTTGGGAATTAAGGAAGATTTTCTCTGAGGTCATTGGTCAGCCTCATGCTAGTGGAAATACGCATGAGCTCACTAGATCTTGCCTTTCGCCTGGGCTCTGCTACAGCAGGGTGTGATGCTTCGGCTGAACCAAACAGGGCCCTCCCAGGGTGGAGGTGGACGAGTCGTCCAGTCCTGCTGTGCCTGTGGGTCCCTGGGAGAGAAGGCTGCTCAGGTCAGTGCAGCAAGAAGGGCTCCGGTCATGTGCGATGTGCATCTGCCTGGTGTGGCACAGGTTACAATGGGGCTGGCATTTCCACTAGCCCTGGTAATTCACTGGCGGGGATGTTTTCGCCTGTCTTCACCGTTCTCTGGGGGCCGTCCAGAGATGAGTCACCAGTTTCTGAGCCAAGTAAGAGGAACTTGACATGTGAAAAACTCCATGGAAGTGAGCAGGCCTAACAATTAGATTGAGTAGGTAGTTAATAATCCACAGACCCCATCCTGCTCAATGGGATAAGCTCTTGTTCGGAACACGTCTGCCCCCAGTGTGGCGTGCAGAGCGTGAGCCTCGAAGGAAGGAGACTGATGCCAGAACTCCAGATCGATGGGTGGAAAAATATTTAACTCGAGAGTCACAATAATTGTCCTAATTTATCTTTTTTGCAGAGTTTGGTTTGAATTCGGGCATAAGTGGGAAACGGGTTTGAAAAGATGAAAATGTTATATACAGAGGCCAAAGAAAAAGAACATTCCATTTGGGTGGGCTTACAGTTTTCTTCTAGTCTTTCCCACACAGTGTTCCAAGAAATTTGGTTCTATTTTACAACTTGGGGAATTGAAAAGGAACTATGTCTGGAGAAAAAAGAAGGGGTTGGGAATGGGTTGCAAGGGTCGGGTGGGGAGAAGGCTTAGGCTTAGATACAGGGCAGGCAGGGCCTCTGGGTGCTGAGACCCAGCTGCGTCTCATCCCAACAGTGTCACCCTTGCCCTCTAACCTTCGGCCCCACGTCACTCCACCCTGACTTTGTGAGGTCCCTCCCAGGCCCGGAGCTCACTCTGGGACCCCCTACCGTGGTCAGCTCTCCACAAGCAGAGTCCTAAGCTCATGGGCTCTTCTAGGGAAAGTAGCTCATCTAACAGATAAATCGTAATATTGAAGGAGTTTCCTCACCTCCTCCCCTCAGAACAGGATCCACTGAGTTTTACCATAAGGGACCTAAAAATATCACTTTGTTTAAAAAAAAAAAAAAAAAAAAAAAGAGGAGGTGTTGTATAAATTTAACCACTGGGATGTGGAGATTTTTAACTTCTATCACACATATAAGAAGCCAAACATGTCATTAGGTTGATCGAGACTAACAAACCCAGGCTCTCCCCCTGAAGGCCGCACCACAGTGTTTCCTTTCAGATGTGGAGGCTGAGAGGGAGGCGTGAGCCCCAGAGAGCCTCCCCCTTCCTGAGGCGGCCCCACCATCTGGCCAGGCTGCTGGCGCCCTGCCCTTGTGTCCCTGAGTGGCTGTGCGGGGAGAGAATCTATTTAAAGGGGGTCACACTCCACATGGTTCAATGACAGACAACTCTGGAACACAGGGATGAGGCCTATAACATGTGGATGGTTTCTTGTCTTGAAACTGCTCTGTTGTGCGGGAATTACGAGCTATTCTCTCATCCACCTGGCTACTGTAAAGACAAATAACAAATATACCAAATCATTGTAGGTACTTCACATTTTGCAAAGCACCTTCCCTCATAATCTCATTTGCTACGTTTATATTGACAAGTAGAAAATATGTTGATGTTTTTACTGGTGTACAAATATTTTCACCTTAACAGTCTGTCAGGCAAGTTATTCTGAGATATTTGCTTTGCCTGGACACTTGCCTAAAATAACCGCTGCCATGAGGCCCACCATACTTGCTGTGTGAGTCATTACTATGCAGATAGTACTGTAATAAGGGCGAAAACCTTCCGAACACAGGCCGCTGGGGTAGAGGGGTTCAGGACAGTGTTATGATTAAGCTCATAGCAGACAGAAAGAAAAATGCAAATAAACCCCAGTGCTTTAAACAAAAGATGTCATTTTCTCAAACTCAGTTATGCCACGCCATTTTCTTTAATTACCTGGTAGCTTTTCTGGGCCCCCAACCTCTTTTTTCTGAGTCTTAGAGTAGATACTGCTTTACTGTGAAGCTCCATGTCTTAGAACTTATGGCGAACCTTAATCTTTACCTGGCCCCATACGGGGAAGTTTTTGGAATCTATTTCCTTTTACCAGCTTCTCCAAGCTAGTTCAAAATGCATTTCTGTCACAGACCCGCTTTGTGACTTCAGCCAACCTCTCTGAATGTTCTTTCTCTCACCTGGAGGGTGTTGGACAAATAACCCAGCACTCACATTTTGCGAGTCTGAGATTTCACCAAAGATACTCAAATTCCTGGGGGAGCAAAACGTCTCATGGGGTCACTTGATAACTCCAGCTTTTGCTGATCTCTTTTTTGTTTTTTGTTTTGTCTTCCCACTTAACAATATTTTTTATGCTGCAGAATTAGGGCCTTATTCTGACTGCTTTGCACTAATGCTTTATGATATGGATGTATGTCCAGACCCACATACCCTCACACACATACGCTGCCTTATCTTCTGGTGCTTTCTATGTCTGTCTTGCCTCACCACAATGGCAAGGGATGAGTCGTTTAGTTCTCTTATAACTTAGAGCACTTAGCACATGCAGCCTACAGCAAAAATCACAAAGTAAACAAAGCGCAACAAACTCAATGCTCAACTCCCAGAGAGGATTTATTAAGTACCTGTTTTCAATGTTCTCATGAAGGAACAGGATTTGATGTAAGATTTCAAGCTAAAGAAAAAAATGCAGCAAGTGGCACAGCTGAATGGAAGGAGCTAAATAAATGTGTCACTTAGCATCTTCCCATGGTTGTGCTGATCTTTGCTGGGTGGGAGACACAAGCCGCCATTTCCTTTGCCATTTATCCCCTTAGCCTGTGCCCCTGAAACAGTCAGCCTCCTCCACGGGGCAGGGACCACTCTGTCTGGTCCATCTCTGGATCACTAGCCCGCAGCAAAGCGCCTGGCATACGGCAGGCACTCAATAAATAGTTGTTGAATGAATAAAACTGGGCAAGTCACCTAACTGTCATATGGCTCCCTCAGTTTTCTCATTTACAAAATGGAAATAATAGTATCTGCCCTCCCCACCTCATAAGATTGGTAAAACAAACAGAGTTAGGATTTGAACATTATAAAGTATCAGAAAAAGGCATTTGAATACTGGTCTATGTATGAAATAAGTTCGTTTATGTGGCAGGCCAATCAGTGTTAAACGCTTTAGCCTCCTCTTCTTATGGTTTTGTTTTTCTTTTTGGCATAAGTACAGTAAGTCTTTAGTCCTCTCAGATTTATAAATGAAATTTGCTTCTCCAAAATATCAGGAACCAAGAATTGGTTAAAGTTCTGGAATAAGTCTCAGGTTGGGAAAAGATTAGTTTAGAATTTACCAATAAAAGGACAAGATTATGATGGTAAACATGTGTTTTCATACGGTAAAACAATCAAGAACAGCTCCATCATCATGAGAAAATGGTTTTGGCTTTAGATGTTTAATGACCAAACAGAGACAAGGCACCATCTTACATGTTCCAAATATTTTTCTCTAACAACAAATTTCCCCAGTCCCCAAAAGAGGTGCCCTGGAGACGTGGCAAAAAAAAAAAGAATAGCGTTCTTGGACACTGTGTTCCTCTAATTAAGTAAGGCTCATACCCAGCCTCCTCTTCTGGGCTGAATCAGCCATGTGATTGGTGTCACCATGGAGGCCAGCGTCACATCGGAAAACACAGTTTCCTTGGGAGATTTGTAGCACTATCCCTGGCACCAAGCCGACTGAGGTGCTTAGGCCATGACCAGCATTTAATCAGGATAATGGCAAATTATAATATACCATGGAGGACAGAAAACTAAAAGTTAAATAAAACATATAGAAAACTGTCTAATACTTTTAAAAATTTGTTTCCATTCATCACTTCATTTACATAGCATTCAGTAGATAAAGACAGCTGTGTGCCAAATGCTTGTCCAATTGCATCTCATTTAATTTTCACAACCCTGCAAGGTAAATATTATTATTCCTATTTTTCTCAGAGGGGTCATCTGAGACTAAAAGAGGTTAAATAACTTGGCAAGATTTAAGTCCAAGTCTGCTGACCCTAAAGCCCCGCCACACGCTTTGCACTATCCCTCACGATTCACATTTGTTTTTAGTCTGGAAGCATAAGATCATTTGAAAGAATCATTCTTTTTTTAAAAAATGGTAGACGCTGCTCTTTGCACTGCCGTTGCAGTGTTTTTGGCTGCCCTATTTAGCGCCTAGTTTGGCTGTCTTTGTCGTGGGTGCCTAGTATTAGCTTGCTGAGCAATGCTTCCAGACAATGAGAAGGACGGCCTTTGGAACCACATCTTTTATTCTTGTAACTTTTTTTTATTTGATCATTTATTAAAATGACCCTGACTTCCTACCACTCGGACAGAGACAGGATCCAAAATTCTGAGCCATGTGTCACCTGGATTTCGTCCCCTGTGATCATTTCCCATGCGCCGTAGTGACCCTTCTCCTGTCGGAAGAATTGCACAGCTTCCAGGAAGGCTTGGGCTTCAAATGTCGTCTGCTTCATGTAATCTGAAGGAAAGATGAAGGGGGATTTAGCAAAGTAAAACATTTCATTTTACGTTTTTCCGTGGTTCTTCAAGTGTGATGTTGAAGGCATGGAATTATGAGACGTAGAAAAAGGTAAGCGAGTACTGAAGTCAAAGTTCACTGGCAGGTGTACATCATCATATTGCTTGTTCGCTGTCCTAGGTAATTAATTCTGCCACTTACTGGGCATAGTGGCTAGGACTAGCTGCAGGTCCATCTCCTTTCTTTCTCTTGTAAATGCTTTCCCATCCAGCCCCACGCACTGGGTGACTTTCTGCTATCGACTCGAACACCTCACTCAGGTAGACCATCCCTTAACAGCATCTCTTGTGTTCAAAGTAACCCCTCCCAGTTTCCCAAACAAAACTCTAATTTCTTTGTGACTTAATATCAGCTTTCTGTCAAAAGGACATCAATATAATATGCAAATTTATGCACATGAAAGCCAATAATTGCTAACATTTTAGCAGAATACTGTTCATTTCAGCACTTCACATATTTCATTGAAACCTCACAGACCCCTCTGAGGAGAGTATTATCATCATCCCCATTTTGCAGATGAGAAGAGGAAGCACAGAAAATGAATGAATTGCCTAAGGTCATATAGCTAGTGAGTGGCAGAGCCAGGACGTGAATTCAAGTAGTCTGACTTCAGAGCCTGCTGCTAACCACTACACACTATATTGCTTCCCATACTAGTTTTATGGGCTTGCCCTTCCAAACATACTGGATTTTAAAAGGTGTCATATCTGAGAGGTATACAGAACTAAAAGTAGAACTACCATTTGATCCAGCCATACTACTACTAGGTATCTACCCAGAGGAAAAAAAGGCATTCTATAAAATAAAGACATCTGCACTCAAATGTTTATAGCAGCACAATTCACAATCGCAAAGATGTGGAAACAACCCAAGTGCCCATCGATCCATGAGTGGATTAATAAAATGTGGTATAGGTATACCATGGAGTTCTACTCAGCCATAAAAAATGGTGAACTAGCACCTCTTGTATTATCCTGGTTGGAGCTAGAGCCCATTCTTCTAAGTGAAGTATCACAAGAATGGAAAAACAAACACTACATGTATTCACCATTAAATTGGTACTAATTGATCAAAACTTACACACACATAGAAAAGTAACATTCATTGGTGCTGGGAAGGTGGGGAGGGGGTGGAAGGGATAGGTGAACTCACACCTAACGAGTGAGATGCACAGTGTCTGGGGGATGGGCACGCTTGTAGCTCTGACTGGGGCAGTGCAAAGGCAATTTATGTAACCAAAGTGTTTGTACCTCCGTAATACTCTGAAATAAAAATAAACATAATAGTAAAAAAAATCTGAGAGGTAATATCCTGCCATAAGGAATGAATATCTAACGGTGGGTTTTCAGGTGTGGTGGAGGGAGCTGGGGCTGAATGGCCTTCTCAGAATTCCATAAATCACACAACGCATGCAGTGTCTTCATTTCTAACATAAATTAGCTCTTGGGGGAAATAGTGACAATAGGATTATAGAAATCTTAGTGCAGAAATAAACTTTAGAAATAATCTAATCAAACAATAAAGAAATCAAGGGGAAATAAAGTGGGAAACGTGAAGTGAGTGAAGGTCCAAGTTTCCTGCCTCTCCCTCCATAGGGCATGGAGCTCTCCATGCAATCTGCGTTTATAGGGCAATGTTAGATTGATCAGTTGATGACGGCTGATTCTCGGGAGCAGGGCGCAGGGAGAAGGAGGGACCATCACAGCTTTACACAGTGGGATTACTCAGTCAATGACTAGATGGTTGATGTGGGACTCAACAGAACTAAACAAGAATCAATCTGCTCTGAAAGAAGACAATCGATTAATAGATTGTGGATGACTCTTTTGAGATTGGCTTACTAGTTCATAAGCCTTAGGAACTTGGAAAAGAGAAAATACAATTCAAGGCATATCTTCTACAAGGGTTCAAGCACAATTCTTCACAGTGAGGATACGATGAAGCCCAGAAACTCCACTCTCAAAAATTTAAAAAATAACTGACATTTCTAATATTAACACAGGGAGTTGGTCAAAATCCATATCAGAAAAAGGGCACATCCCAAGAATCCGGTTTTTAAATTGAAGTATTTTTTCCTTGTTATTTTTTTTTTTGGCTTTGCAACTGATTTAGTGTTTAATCTTAGAGGTTTGGAAAACAGAAATTAAGGTCTTGCTATAAAATTGACAACACCATCGGTAGTGTTCTCCTCGCAAGGAGATTGTGATATGGGGCTCAGTACACTGGGACGACTTTACCAACTGAGATGGAAACTGTAATCACTACATTGGGATTCAAGATTGACTCATGTTCTCTTATTTTTAACAGCTGTTTTCATTTCCATCCTGAGAAAACAAAGAGATGGAAGAAAATATGGTACTGTATTTGGATAGAGCAAATATGGCCAGATCCTCGAGCCAGGGAATGAAGTTTTAAATTCTTCACGTCCTTACAAGAAACATACATTTATTTATTTCTTCCCCTGCTGACCTCAGGAGAAAGCGTTTGAAATCCTGTCTGTTAACTTCTATATCTCTATCGAAGCAAACGATGACTCTCCCACGAATGGTTGCATTTGCAAAGATCCTTGGAAAAAAATAACTGAAGAAATGGAACTTGGAGACAATGATTTGAGCATCAGTGAGAAGTCAAAGAAGGAATAGAAGGCGAGCTAGAGGGTACCAGTAGTAGAAGTGAGGCGCCTTACTAAAGACAGAGAAGAAAAGTATTAGTAGTCGAATGAACCACCAAGAAATTATAGTCTTTCAACAATGAAGCCTCAGAGAGTGACAGCCTGGATCTGAATTCTGGACTCCTTACCATTAAGAAAAACTTAAACTGAATTTTAACTATTCCCTTTCCATAGGGGAAAAATGATCTAATCTACTGATTCAGCATTAGATTTTCAGCTTATAAACTGATTAAATAAATTAGTTTATATAATGTTTTTAGAACAGAGTCCCCACCCAGTAAGTTGCTTTATGGATATTTGTTCTTATGGTTGTCAGCGAAGCTCAAAAGCAACTGCCAGAACATTAAGCAAATAAAGAACAAAAGTTTGCTTTGTGAAAGATAGAATTATACTGTAATGGTAATATGACCTTCATTTCTTCTAAGTTGTTTGCAAAGGCATTGCTGAACTCAGCCAGAGTGTACAGGTGTTTGGGAGAACCCAGATTATCGGATATTTGATCAACTTCCTGCGACAGATCTCATGGGAACAAACTCCAGGTTCACAATCACTGGCTCTCCTGCCAACATGCAAATTGAGTTTAGTTCAGTGGCCCCCAGAATCAACAATAGTTTTTGGTTTTTAAGCCTTTTTGCAAGCAGACTTTTAAAAAAGGCAGATGTCATCCCAAACTCTGTATTTCTGGCATGCCGTAATTACGAGGATGCCCGAGGAGACTGATGGGCTGGGAAGGGGCTTGACATTAGTGAATTCAGCTCCTGCATTTCATAGATGAGGAAACTGCAGCAAGAAATGGTTAACTTCTTAGCTGAAGGTCACACAGCTGGTCAGTATCAGAGCCAAGAGTTGAGAGTTTGTCTCTGGCGTGTCTTGAGCGGCCTTGGCATTCATGCTCACTTAAATCACAGACTATGAGACTTGGAAGTGATCTCAAAGGTCACCAGCCAAAGCTCTCGCTCACGTTGGGATCCCTCAGAATCCCAGGGAGACATTTGTGCCGCCCCAGCTTGAATATTTCCAGTGACAGGAAGCTCACAATTTAATGAAATAGTTCTTTCCATCACTGAACTGCTCTGAATTTTCCTTCTATTGAGCCAAAATGTGTTTCCACGAACTCTCTCTCTCATTAATCTCATTTCTCTCTTTCAGAGCAAAATAGACAAGTTTACTCCTTTTCCATATGGTAGCTCTAAAAAACAGCAATCACCTGAATACCCTTATTTTCCTTCAACCGTTCTTTAAACAACTTATCTTTTGGATCTTTTTAATTCGGCCCTCCCTTTTCCTTCCTTCCCTCAGTGATCCAGTCTAATTTATCAGTATAAACTTGGCCCCTACAACTGAATACAATACACTGTGCATTGTCTGACTAGTGTAAATCACATAAAGCAGAAAGATATTTTTCTGCTTCTGATCTCTAACCCAGCGGTCCCCAACCTTTTGACACCAGGGACCGGTTTCATGGAAGACAATTTTCCTACAGACGGGGCTGTGGGGTTGGTTTCGGGATGATTCAAGCGTATTATATTTATTGTGCACTTTATTTCTATTATTATTACATTGTAATATATAATGAAATAATCATACAACTCACCATAACGCAGAATCAGTGGGAGCCCTGAGTTTGTTTTCCTGCAATTAAATGGTCCCATCTGGGGGTGCTGGGAGACAGTGACTGATCTGACAGGAGGCGGGGCTCGGGTGCTGATGCCAGCGATGGGGAACAACTGTAAATACAGACGAAGCTTCCCTCACCCTGCTGCTCGCCTCCTGCTGTGCGGCCCACTTTCTAACAGGCCACGGACTGGTACCAGTCTGTGGTCCAGAGGTTGGGGACTACAGCTCTACCCTGTTTTTTGATATACCCACGTTGTCATAATGTTGACTCATATCTTCCTTGTAGTCAAATAAAATCCCTGTACCTTTTTCATATAAAACTCTTGCCAATCTAAGCCTCTCCTAACCTGTACTTTTGCTTTTGACTTTGAAGGACGTAGTTTAACACTATGCCTATTAAATTACAACGTACTGTGATCAGCCCGGCGTCCCAAAGCCTGCCAAAGTCATCTTAAAATTATAATTCTGTCTCCAACTCCCTTTCACCTCAGCATCATTTGGAAATCTGGTAAGCTTGCCTTCTGCGTTTCTGGCCAAATTCCTGATTAAAACATTCACCAGATCAGGGGCAGGGAAAGAGGCCTGGGGAACCCGAGGCATTTTAGGAGACATGTGGGGGACACATCTTGGCCATTCATTCAAGAATCACATC